GGGAAGGCAACTAGTCATCACCACCCACCGCTAACGCTTGGGCTACTCTTTTACCAACAGATATAGTGGGATTGACCATCACCTTATAATCTTCCCACGGCTGAAGAGGCGAGCATGTTTGATGAGACGCGACCCTCAGATTGCGAGTCGAGCACCCTAACCACATAGCCATGCCGGGGTATGGGCATTAGATAGATACGGTTTTACATCCTTACATATCGTAACATTCCACCTGAACAGAGATTGCGATCATCACCAAGAACAAGGGCAGTCTGGCAATGGTGTCTCATGTTTGAAAAAATCAAAGTGATGGAAAGATATTGATATATATTCGGCCACCTTTCATAAATAGCTGTTTTCAGTAGATCTTTAGTGTCTGAAGTCCACATGACGGAATGTGACGCGTCTCCCAAGAGCATCTCATGTATGCCTGTTGGGATAAAAGTCTGGTGAGAGCGAAGACCTATCCTTTGATCAATAGTTCTTTGTACTAAAAGTGTGTTGCTCTATTTAGCACAAGTATTTTCTACGTCGTAGGATGTGGTGTTCTGTAACATAAATTACCATTCCGCATGATCTAAAGTTCGGTGCGTTTATTAATTATTATTTTTATTCAAACCATACTTTCACCACCGCAATAGTCGCTATGATTTTTTTGTGTGTGTGTTTAGTATATTTGGTTCAATATTCTCTCCAAGTGAGTATAAGCTTGTTACCTGATTGTAGGGGGAAGTGAAACTCATCTGTCAAATATATATATTTGTATTGTATGTGTGTATTGCTCTGCATGTCATTGATTCACCAAGAGGGTTATTGACACCATTGCAAACGAGCTGTTATTGTATTGCTATAAGTTATTTTTAACCACTGCACTGAGACGAGTTCCAATTGCGGCTGCGAACATTTATTTGAATTTCGAAGACTAGGTCATATGATTACAGCGTATCAGAATCGACAGGTAGTTGTCGTCTGCTTATGTTCTTGATGGCTGTCTGCCTTGTCAAGCTGTACTATCAACAGTACCATTGGTTTGGAAGCGATTTCACATTCTGCTAACAACACTTGAAAAATTCGGTGCCAATTTGCATCCTTTATGTTTGTTTGGTTTTACTGTTTAGTTCTTTACTCACCACAAATAATCTGAAACACCTTAGGTGTTTCGATAACATGCGATACCGTCAGAATTAATCATCTATTATTAACTGGTTATTTATTTATTTGTGAGTTTTTTTTTCCTCACTAAAACATGGATTTCAGTGATGAAATAATGACTAGCTCACTTCCGTTTTTCCCACAGCTCTCCACGTGAGTAAAACACCCAAATCTCTTCTCTGAAGTACAACATTTTTTTTCATATACAATGTGGAGTACTTTGAACTCTGTAAATGTAACTCTTAAAATGTAAAAATGAGAAAAGATTGTATGGAATCACTAGATATGGCTTAGACTGTATGATCAGACATCTACATTTCAGATTACATGAATGATCTTCAGATGCCTGATTTTCATAAACTTTGAACTTAAGGTAATGATTTTATAACAGTGGTCTTGTCTTGTTATCAATGTTGTATTATAAACACTGATTATCATATAATTTTGAACAGTATATTTGCTCTTAAAGGGACTTCAAGAACAATTTAAACTTTTTTTATATTGTTTATAACGAAAAGGTGTAAACCTGTTTAAATTTAAAAGTCATTCTTAGTACTGATTATATTCAAATGCATCAGTCATAAAAGCAAATTAGGTATTAATCGAACTGTGTCCGTGAGTGGCATCACGAGATTAACAAGGTGCTAATTTTAGGTTTTCGTTGGTCCAATTAATGTCATTGTAGAAAGCAAGAAAAAAAAACTAGTGAATCTTCGGTCTGGCGCACGAAATAAACCAAATTTTCTTCTATTTTATTTTCATAATTTACTTTTTCAAATTGAGAAGGGTTTTAAATTGTTTTGTATTTAATCCTTACCTTGTTTCTTAAAGGACAGTTATATACAAAAAGGAATTTTAATCGAGAGAGATTTCAACGGTACGAAATCCCTGTCAAAGTCAGTGATGGTGGGGGAAGAACTGGTTATTCCTTAGTGCGTGTCACTGTTATTGACGTCAGTTATCATTCGCTCGAGTTCTCCACTACTGAATATGTGCTGACCATTTCTTCTAATACAACAGTTGGCAGTAGTATTCTGAAAGTAAGTTCACCAGTACTATTCGGTAATTAATCTAGTTGTGTCAAGAACAAATAGTTGTTTTAATGGGTTTTTGTTCTATTTACATTTACTCTTCTGTTTCTTTCAATTAGTTTTCAGTTGAAGAATTAACAACTTGGCTGTCCAGTAACTGACAGATCGCAATGAACAACCTGGCTGTCTAGTAATTGACAGATCACAATTAACAACTTGGCTGTTTAGTAATTGACAGATCACAATTGACAACTTGGCTGTCCAGTAATTGACAGATCACAATTAACAGTGAGGAAAACGGCCATGATTAATAGGAGCTTTTTTTTACGTTTTTGTTGAATAAATAAATGTCACTTATTACTACGGTAAGTTTGGAGGCTTATACGCTTAAAATCGAAGTTCCATACCAATTGTGGGTATAGCGTAGGTATCTCATTATGTAGCCTTACGCTTAAACACAAACAAACAAAAGGAATGAAATTACCATAAAAAAATGACAAGTTATTTACTTTATGTTTCTAAAATTTGGTGCACTCCATAACTGCTGACAATTAAGATGTGTGTGTTTTCTAACAGACGCAGGCTTTTGATCCTAAAGATACTGTTGGAGGGAACCTGGTATATAGTATTTATCGAAAGCAGGATTCGTTTTTGGACACAGTTCTTGGTATCCAAGCGAACCACGGAGTTATTTATTTAAAACGACCCTTAATGGGCCAAGGTAAGCTCGTAAATACGTTATTGGCATGTTCTTAATCCTTCTGTTGTATATTCTTTCCCAAATAATTTGATTCTAAAACAAGTTGATAGTTGATTTATGATTTTAAGTTGATAGTGTTCTAAAATTTCTCAAGAGATTATAGAACTGGAAATAGGAGCCACTCATTGCAATAGCACAGAGAACAAGAAATTTACTTTTCGCGTATTTAGGTTATATATTTGTACGTTTAACAGGTATACCACCATTTCAAATATTATTAGTGATTTATTAACGTATAATTGGCTTAAAGCCTTGTTAAGAAAACACGTATTAATCAATACGCATAAGAAGTGTAAAAACATCATACGTTTATTCCGAATATAAAATAATAATAACTCGTATTTTTAATCAACATTATTTTGAATTTCCGATTTTAAAACAACGCAATGAAGATTGGTGGAAAACGATATACGGTCTACTGTGGTGCTAGTTGAATGGGAAGGAAAAAAAATACCTACCTACACTACATTTATACGTGTATTTATGTAGCATGTGTTTGCTTTTCAAACTTAGTCATGTTCTTTTGTTTTTACCAACATTAGTTAGTTTTGCAGTGAAAATCCACATGCACGCACATATATATATACACGCGTGTGTGTTTGTGTGTATAGGAGATGGACAAAACAAGTGGAAACAATAGCCAAAAATATGGTTTAAGACGGCGTTGGTTTACGGTTTTAGATTAAATATTTCACCATTTCTTCCCCTCATGATTTTACTCTTTGTTTGCTTATGTTTACACTACGTATTATTATGAGTTGAATATTTCGTGTTTTATTTAAAATGTATGTTGAAATAGTAGTATTAATAAAATAGTGCCTTTAAATTCTCAAAATTATCATTTGTAACACCTATCGGAAAGGTCAATGCTGAGAAAATACAATCTATCCAGGTAAGTAAAAAAATACAGATAAGACAAGTTCTAACATTTTTTAATCATTTGTTTTAATTAAAGATGCAGAATTAAAACGTAGGATTGAATTTTTGCAAACATTGAATAAATTTGAAACATCAGCCATATTTTTTTTACCATGTGTCGCCTGTGCAAAGAATTGTAAAACTTGCATGAATACGTAGATGATCTGTTTATTGAGTATTATTATTTTATTTTACTTTTTAATCAATTATTTTTGTTTAGATGAATATATGTCGCCTATGGCAGATTTAAAATATCGTATGACGAAGTCAGTGTTTTTGAGATGCAAGATACATTCTTAAAACAAACTGATATAACTTAAAATTTTCTTTGTTAGAATAGTCATACATTATAAAATGAATGAATAATATTCTATCAACTCAAAAATTCAAATGTTAGTTTGTATCTTAATATTTAGAAGGCGCTGTGTATCAGTTTTTCGTCAAGGCAGAAGATAAGATGTCACTTTCTCAAGAGGCACAAGTTCCTGTCACTATTCGGATAAGTGCACCTCAAATTGTAATACCTCGTTTCAAACAACACCATTATGAACACTTTGTCTCCGAGTCAGCAGAAATTGGCACCATCATTTCTATACTTAATACTAGCTCTTTCTGGCCTATTGTATATACGTTTACACCGGTAAAGGCAGAGTCTAAATCTCAAATATTTCAATCTAAATTTTCAGTGAATAAGCAAGGTCATGTCTTGCTAATGTCCAGGCTTGATCGAGAAGAAGAGATGACCTATTTTTTAACAGTAAAAGCCAACATCCAGGAAAACCCCCAACTAGCATCATACGTTAACATTAAAATAATAGTATTGGATGACAATGATAACATTCCAAAATTCGAATCTAACCAGTATTCAGTTAAGGTAGCAGAAAACGTAGAAGTAGGTTGCCAGGTACTCAGATTAGTCGCTCATGATGAAGACATTGGTCAGAATGCTGACATAACCTATTCGTTTGGCTTATATCATGATGATGACGACTTCAGTGAAGTCTTTAGCTTAGATGGCAACACAGGATGGTTGACGACAATGGTTCCTTTAGATTACGAAAGCCGCTCAAGATACAATTTTACAATAGCGGCTACTGACAATGGCTCTCCAGCTTTATCCTCAGTTGCCTTGGTGAGTATAGAGATTCAGGATTATAACGATAACCCTACTACTTTCAAGCGGTCATTCTACGAGGCAGCCATCTATGAAGACGCTGAAGCTGGAACTGACATACTTGTCTTAGATGTCGACGATCGTGACAGTGAAAGAGTAAAACACAGCTTAGCTTTTTATATCACTAAAGGAAATCTGAGAGATTCTTTTCGAGTCCAAAAAACTGGAGAACTGTACGTTAATACACCTCTTGATCGAGAGCTGATTCCCCACTACGATCTGGAGATTACAGTAACAGACGGCAAATATGTTTCCACTACACTTGTTTCTCTTGATGTCCTAGATGCCAACGACAACCCAACTATGTTTCTCAAAGTAAGTAATACACAGAACTATGTCGCCGAATGAAGATTTTGTGTCATTATTTTAATAAACTACAAGTTACTTAATGTTAAGATTGATGCGTAAAATACCAGTTTCATATTTACAATGCAATGTTTCGTAACTCCATATCATATAACAAAGTAAAACAAAGATTATTGCAAGGTTCGATTTACATCGAACTTTATGGTGACTACATAAGGTGAATAGTATGTAGCCTTAAAAGAATTCCAACTTCAACCAATACAATAAAACTGCATTACGAAGAATAAAATAAATACCGACATGCCATAATTTTCATGATAAATTGCAGAAATATGAATTTATAGGAAAATTTTCTTCCTGAATATTGACTACAAAGTTTCCAACTAAATACCTTTCAAATGTGGTTTATCTTATGTAAATGTTTAATTTGCTTTAAGCACCACATGTAACATTACTTTTTCTATTTTTTTCTTATTCCGTTCCCTGAACAATTTTACTCAAAATAAACAATTGGAAAAATATGTTGTTGTTGTTGTTGTTTTTAAGTTAGTATCTACTCTTTTGTAAAGAAATATCACATTACAAGACTATCAAAATATATGATTTATGAGATATAACTTAAATCGATGATTTTTTACAGTGAATTTTCTAAAATAAGTTTACTTTTATATATACGTATATGTGGGAAACTAGCCTAGTTAAAGACAATTTTGTCAATTTATACCAACAGCATTTATTTAGCTAATGGCATGTCCTGTCTGCATCGCTCCTATTTGGGCTTTTAGATACTATCTGAACAATTGATAGCATTTCGGTTTAGTTTCGGAAGATACAAATATAACTGTTATAAATTAGTTTTGTGTTTACAGTCAAAGTACACAGCAGTGTTGCCGGAGAACATACCTGTCCAAACGTCTATATTACAACTAGAAATTAGTGATGCCGATACTAAGAGAAACGCCCACGCTCTCAGTTTTTTGACGGGAAAAGGAGCAAAGGATTTTGTAATCAATCCATCTACAGGTGCGTCGAAAATATTCCTGTTAGAGACCAGCTTTCTTAAACCTTAATATCATTTATGTAGACCATTTCATTGAACATCGTAAAATAATATTATTATATTTTTTTTACGGATCACCCGCACCTTAACCTCCAAAATAATGGCAAAGTAATACTTCTTAAACTTTCACAGATTTTCATTAATATATTCAGGAGTCCCGTATACAATATTTAGTAATTCTGTATTAGAATATGAATGGAAAATTTGTCTTCATAAGTCTTCGAGGTTTTTTCATTCTTAAGAATATACATTGGAATATTCGCTAACGTTGCTCAAAATATTGAATTACGACTGTTTGAAATATGTTATTTTTACATAATATAGTTGCTTTTCTTACAGTCATCACCTACCTCAAAGATTTATGGAACATGTGATTTAACAATTTTTCCAAGTAATTTCAAGAAAAATTTATAAAAATCACTTTCGAACTTATATAAGATAAATTATTATTTTTCTCTTATAGGAATCCCTCCTTCAAAGCTCCACAGTGGGCTTTCTGGACATTGTCAACCACGGGTATCGATACTCGATTTTTTTCTTATAATGCTAAAAAATCAGGTTTTGATATACGTAGTGAGTAGAGCACAGATAGCCCATTGTTTAGCTTTGTGCTTAAAAACAAATAACAAACAAATTCTCATATCGTTTATATTATCAAAGACACCCAGTATTACGTTTTCAAACCTGGGGTTTTTCTTAATCTATTGAAATCGTTTTGACAGGACACTGAAAATCTCTTAAGTGAATATATCTTTAAAATTCTTAAGCATAACGTCATCAACTTTCTGCATCAGCTTTTAAGATAATAAATGACCCTTACCAAAATAAATTTCAAGAGTTCATATTCTTATGATATTTACTGCATATGTCTTGTTCTGGAAAGTAAAAGTGATTTTTTTACTTCAGATATTTATATTTCTAGAATTATGTCTTTCAGATTTGATGGTTCGGTAAAAAATGTAAAGTGTGCATTAGTTCCAGTTGTACAATTTCGTATCTGAATTAAGTTATGCTATTCTGTGCAATTTCTTAAATAAGTATTAAACGGATCATACCAGTATAAATTCAGTGAACATTACTGAAAGTGTTATATTATTTTTCCGTTTTCGCTAATGTAGCTGTTTTGAATGTGGTGCGGCCACTGGACAGGGAGAAGATATCTCAGTACTACCTGCAGGCACACGTCCTCGACAGTAAGCGACCACATTGGGAAAGTATCTGTAATATTAAAATTATTTTGAATGATGTCAACGATAATGCACCTAGTTTCACAGCTCCGGTTTATTCCGTCAGTGTGTCAGAAGATTCTAGAGTCGGAACACTCGTAATGAAGATCCATGCTGTTGACAGGGATAAAGGTAGAGAGAGCTACGCATTAAACTAATTATTACACAAAACTCTCACACGTATATTGAAAGTTAATCAAGTTCGCTGTCATGCAATTCAAAACCTAGAAAGTAATAAGGAAGAGAAAAAGGTCTTCATTAAAGTTCCATACAAGGAAAATTATTTGGAGGCATCACTAGTTGGAGACACCTCACACAGTTCATTAAAAATCTGTACTTTCAAGAAGAAACTGTAAAGACAGAGAAAGGTGCTTAAAATAAGGATGTTCTTCGTTATAACTCGGTTTTAGAAAAATATTTGTAAAGCTAGCTGTCTTAAATCAGCACTTCAAACACGTATTAAAGACTCACGTTGGTTAAAAGATTCAAGAAGAAGCGTTAATTAGTTATCTGTGATGATAAAAAGAGTCACGTAGAAAAATTGTAAACAAGGCTGTATGGTCGTAAAATGACTCACACTGAAAATTTCTAGCATAACCTTCACATAGATGTATTTTGCAGTAAAATGTATATTTTACGAACAGTCACATGAAACTATTTTTTTAAAACAATGCATATGGATAACTTTTATCCAATATTCAATGTATAGGTGACCAGTTTTTCTAATTTGAATAAATATGATAGGTACTTGAAGCGATTCCATCTTAAATTTATTTTGCTATTGGTTAAAATATGATGGTTTATTCAAAACCATTTTAACTTTTAGTTTTAATTTGTGAAAATCGTTTGGTCTGTTTTTCTTATAAAGATTCATTAATTTTGCTTTAAGTTTATTCTTGATAAAACCTATTCTTTTTTATTCTTCTTAGGACGAAATCGAAAACTCTCCTACGAGTTTATCTACTCAGCTGAAGAGACATTCTCAATCGACAAAAAGAATGGTATTGTTCGTTTAAATAAAAAACTGGATAGAGAAAGAGTGGGATTTTATAACTTAACCGTTAAAGTAACTGATCACGGAATTCCACAGTTGTCTTCTGTAGCTGCAGTATATGTGCAAGTGCAGGATATAAACGACAATCCACCAGTTTTCAACAAGAGACACTACAGAGCCCTAGTATCTGAAGAAGCAGAACTGTACACAGAAGTGATCCAGGTTTTAGCTGTTAGTATCGATGCCGGTAACAATGCTGAAATAACATATTCGATATCCTCTGGGAATGACCTTGGACATTTTGAAATCCATCAAAAATCTGGTGAGCAACTTAGTGCAAAGTCATTCAATGGACTATCTGCACGCTGTCCACAATGGGGAATCGAACTGCTGATCCACCTATGCGTGCGTGTGTGTGTGTGGGGGGGTATTGGGGAATTAGTTCATTAAAATTTATTAATGATATCCTT